AAAAATAATAATAATCTCCTAATTTGAACGTGTTTCTTCCTTTAAAAAAGTTTATTAAAAAAAAACAACCAGTAAGTTAAAGAATAGTTTAAAAAAAAAAGAATAGTTTAGATAGGTAATAAATTACATATTAACTTTCTCTTCCTGATTATTTCCCCATATGATTTCATGTCTCAGAGTTTACAGATATAAAATATATAAGATATAAGAGTTTATAGATATAAAACAATCTTCCTAAATATTTGAAGAAAATAGTTCTATTTAAAGATGAATCCAGGTAGTTAAATGCTTTCGATGCATCTGTGACATTCTCTAAAACTATATATTGAAAAAACTCACTGCCACTCAGCAATCCTGGCTCAGAGCAACCCTTTCTCAGTGGCCCGAGAGAACAGATGAGAACCACCCCTTTGGGTTTCTGACCCTGTACGTCTTGATGAGATGTGGGTGTCCTCATGTTTCTCCCCAGGAGCAGCGGTTGGTTTGAAATGCCAACTAGCCACCAAATGTTTATTTCTTGACGGATTTAACAATAGCCCTGCAAAAGCTTCAAGTGGGATCCAGGAGAAGCCGCTGAGTGGCCATCAGTGCTCTACAACAGCCGGCAGCTGATGGTGACTCTCCTGAAGGCAGGGTTCAGACAATCAGTTAAAGTTTATTGATGTATAATGGTACAGAGGTGGAAATACAGGGAATCCAGGACAGATAGACCCCTCAGGACCAATAATGAGAGTAGCGATACCAGGAGGGAAAGGGGAAGGTGGGTGGAAAGGGGTAACCAATCACAATGATCTACATATAACCCCCTCCCTGAGGGACGGACAACAGAAGAGTGGGTGAAGGGAGACATCGGACAGGGCAAGATATGAAAAAATAATAATTTATAAATTATGAAGGGTTCATGAGGGAGCGGGGAGGGAGGGGAAAATGAGGAGCTGATACCAAGGGCTTAAGTAGAAAGCAAATGTTTTGAGAAGGATGATGGCAACAAATTTACAAATGTGCCTGACAGAAATGGATAGATGCATGGATTGGGATAAGAGTTGTATGAGCCCCCAATAAAATGAGTTAAAAATAAAAATATATAGTTTATTAGTGCACACACTTTTGTAATCTAGTTGCAAAACATTTTCTAAAGTTTTCATTTGACTTTTTTAAAACTGTGTCAATATTGCTAAATCATTCCATGGCAGAGAAGGGGGGACTTTAAAGCCTGGCGCATTTTTAGCTTAAGTAGTTTAGAAAAGAAAAATCTGCCTTGAACATTTTGCTGTTAGGTATTTGGGACCAAATGGTGCATTGGGTTGGGCGTTGAATGGCTAACAACAAGATGGGCGGTTCAAATCCACCTACGGCTCCTCAGGAGAAAAATGAGGCTGCTTGCTCTCATAAGGATTTAGCATTTCAGAAACACTAGCTGGGGTTGCTGAGTCAGAATGGCCAGTATAGGAGTGAGGTTTTGTTTCGTTTTATGTTTTGTTCATGGGATCAAATTGACAAAAGCAACCTGAAACTTTCAAAGTGAGCTAGGAGCCTTCGAGGGCAGTGCGTTTGTGCTCCTGGAGGAAGAGAGATTGTACACTAGAATATCATCAGGGTGGCTGAATTGTACAAACAGGAACTACTGAATCAGTGTATACCCTACTAAATATAATCTCAACAACAACTCAAAATGTTAAACCTTACTGCATTTCCAATGTCAACCGGATTTTTTAAGTAAAAAGGAAAGCTAAATTTAATATGTAGGGGCTTTTCATGTATTTAATTTTCAAATCATTTAAAAACTATGACTCTTCTCCAGATGCTATTTTTGTCAGCATGACAGAAGCATAGTACTCATTTGTACAGTCTCAAACACACAATGAGCCAGTCCCCAGAATAGGCCAGGCGTGGGGGCCCCTGAGGTCACTGAAGAGTGGGCATGATTTGTGAAATCACAAAACCACGGTCAAGTCGTCTAGTGGACGTGCTGCGTGGTCCACCTGTGCAAACTCTGGGGGGAAGGTTAGTTCTTTTTTTTTTCGGGCCTTTGGTTTTTTTTTTTCAGTTTTCTTTTGGGAACAGAATTCCAGCAGGCATCCAACTCGGTACAGGGCAGAGCCTTAAATGGTACGGGGCCAAAAAGCAACTGGTTGCGGTGGAAAAATAACGAGCAATGAAAATTCATGAGTTTTACACATCTGCTTCTGCACATCTTTAGGCAATGTTGTTTTGTTGCTTAACTATCACAACAGTTCTGAGCCTGGGGAGGACGTGCTGGCATTGAAAGTAAACACTGAGCCCTGTCTCTGCACCGCAGATTACCAATATCCAACTTCAAATCCACACGGTCTTTTTTTCTTTTAGCAATTATCTTAAAATTATTTTAAAATTAAATATACTTGCTGAAACCGACTAAAAGTTACCTCCAGATTTGTTTCCAATTTGGCTTACAGATATAATGCAACAGTCATGTTTACTGCCTGTGGAAAGAAGCAAAACTTCCTTTTGAAAAACCAGAGCACAAGAGCACACACAAACATGTTTGTTAAAAATGGCTTCTTTATGATATCATCATTGACAGACCTCAGTTTGCACAATTATTCTGGATTTATTTTTCAAATAGGAAATGTTACTTGAGACTGATTCTGCTTATTTAAATAATAAAGCCAACTAAAGTCTACAGTATGTTGAAAGGATATAAAGAACAGGTCTCACTATTAAGTAATCAAGTCAATACCTTGTCATCATAAAGATGTTTTTAAATATTGTTGAAGCCTGTTCACTGAAATTTTCAATTGAATTATACTGATGCTAGCTCCAACTTATACTATATATGTGACCAAATATCATTTGATAAAAATAATTCTGATAAATGTTTATTAATCCCCAGCTATATAAAACAAAATGTTTCAATTTTTAGTAAAAAAAGCACCTTGTAATGGGTATTTGCACTATTCTGTCGTAAGAAGCCACTGGCATTCCTACAAAATGCTTTATTTTTGTCATCATTGCTGATGAAATGAATACAAGTCATTTCTAAAAACTGGTCACTTTCTCATTTTCTGAATCTTTCTCAGACACTAACCAATCTTGACTTCTGAATACCTGATAAAAAATGTGTTCTCTATCAGTATGAATTTCGTGGTTTATGCAATTTGTTTTATGATAAAGACTTGAGTATAAGATAAATTCACATATTTCTTGCCTGAAGAGCTCCTGCTCTACTAAGAGAGAAACGTGTTCATGCAGAGTTAAGAACAATGACACATAAATATCTTAGAAGATGTGTTTAAATCAAGTGGGCAGGTTGTACTCGATTTCATTAAATTAAGTCTCCCTCCTGTCCTGCGGTGGTGATGGCTTAGCATTGTCCGGTTTGTACTTCCCTACCTTGGCAAAGCAGTGTTGACAGGCATAGACAGCATCAAAACATGCTCTGAGAATTACAATCAGCATCCTGTTTCCCGCTGCACAATTTTAGCATCAGTAAATTGAAATATACTAGCCTAAAACCCAACCTATGTTAGAAAATACTCTGCAGTTAACAGCAGAGAAGTGATCAAAGGAAAAACAAGACACTCATGAACTAGAAATGTACAGCCTAATCCACCCAAATCAAAGTTCTAATTGACACTTTCAACTGTAAGTATTAGATTTTATTTTGTGGGAGTGTTTGTGTTGTTGTTGTTTTGTTTGGGGGGGGTTGCTTTTTGTTTGTTTGTTTTGTCATTTAAGGACCAGAATAAAAATAAGAAATGTCTAGAAGTATAAATGTCTACCTTATGATGTATTAAATAAGACAAATTGATTAGATATCAACTTTTAGCTGTAAAAACACAAAACAAGACCCAATTTCTTAGCTAAAGGGAAAAAACACTGCGTGAGTATATTAGAGAGATACTTTTTACAATATTTTATACCAAATGAGAATTAACATTTAAAACACCAATATGTACCTGAAAATGAAGACTTGCTGCATTAAAATTGTTACTGATTGCTTGCTTCCCAGGGTGCCTCGGGAATCAGATAAAACAGAGTTCCTTTAGCAATATTCCTAAGAGTGTTTGCTAGGAAATCAAAACACATTCCTCCCTCCACTCCAGCCTCTCCCCACCCCTACCTACCCCAGCCCCCACCCCAAGTACATTAGACAGCCTTTGAAAGAAGCCAAAACATCCAAAGCCGAAGGAGAACAAGTGTTATACTTGGCTCATTTGTGAGATTCTGGGTTTGTTTGTTTGTTTCAATATAATTATTTCAACCAGGAAAGTCTCGCTGGAGATGAAATACAAGGCTACCCAGGTAGGCAGGTGTTGCGTGTACAACATCCTTTCTGACCATTTGTACGTGAGTTCAATGGGGTGGGTGCCTGCCTGGGGTGACCTCATTGGTTGGGCATGGCCCAGCCTCGATCTGAGGTGAAATCAAGGCAGCAGGCAGCACCCCAGCAGAGCTGTTTTTCTCCCGCAGCCCGATGTCAAGAATGACCACAGCCAAGGAGAACCAACACCTCCCGGCCTTTGTCGAGGGGGATTGCCCGAGGTTCTAATAACAGCACCCTCTCGCCAAAGGGTGGTTACGTTCAGCTGAACGCTGGGGTCCCAAAAACTATATCGCCCCGTGTTGTGGGTCTGCAGGTCCAAACCCATCCCTTGCCTTTGTGGCTTCTGGAATGGTCCCTGAAACCTGGGGTGGAAATAACCAGTTTGGTTAAGTTTGGTTTACTCATTCCGACCCCGCTGTCCTTCTAAGAGTGCTGAGAGGACTTGAAGACTTCCACGAACCCCCCCGCCCCCTCCAGCCTCAACACCCACTGCTCCCAAATGCTACCTGACACGTTCATTTCCCGAGCAATTTGTCACTTGGGGGGGGGGGGGACAATGGGCTCTTTCCATTGTCCGCTTATCAACAAAAGAACTGCTAAGATGAAGAAACGGTGCTTTCAATCACATCCTTGGCGGGGGCTGGCGCCGGGGGCGGGCGGGGTCGCGGAGGGCAGAGGGGGGCCGCGAACCCACCTCTCTGAGCTGCTCCAGCTCCTGCTTGAGGCCGTCGTACTCGGCCTCCAGCTCGTCGTACTGCTGCTTGAGGGTCAGCTTCTCCTCCAGCACCACCAGCCCGTACTCGGCAGCCTGGATCTTCTCGTGGGTGGTCTCCGTGAGCTCCTTGGTCAGCCTCTCGATCTCCGTCTTATACTGGTCCACCGTCGGCAAGCCCTCTTCTGCGGCCATAGCCCCGGTGGATGGAGGCCGACAAGAGGGGGGTGAGGGGGGGCGGTGAGGAGGGAATGAAAGCCGGTGATGGGGGACGGGGAAAAAGAAAAAGTGCAGCGGCGGAAGGAGCAGAGCAACGTCCCGCAGGCTCCTCTGCCCGCAGCTACGAGCCGGCCCGGGAAACGGAGCCGAAATGCAGCATGGAGAACGCAGCGCGGAGCGAGGGCGGCGCGGCGAGGGCGCGGCGGCGGCCACCGGGGTCCTGTGGGCCGGCCTTGGCGTGCGGTCAGCAGCCGTGCGGCATGGTCCGGGCTGCGGCGGCCGGGGACGCTGAGGGGGCTCCGGATACTGCTTCCTCAGAGGCACCGGGCCGCCATGTCTCCCGGGCAACGTCACTGCAGTCTCCCCTCTCGGGCTGGTGCGCTCCGGCGCGCCCGCTCTCTCCACCCGCTCCCCTGGCCCTGCAGCAGCCGG